GGGGGGGCAGAGAGCAAATAGAAGAGGGTATATAGGCTAAAAACGCCGTATATACACAACGGTCATATATCGGATACAGACGGCAAACAAGCCTCAGAACACAAACAAAAGGAAGAACCAAAGAAAACCATAATAACTTATTTACCCAGTTTGTTCACAGCGGGAAAAATGCACTATCCATTGTACACGGGTATCAATGGACGAAAGCGGCTTCAAGCCATGCCCATCTTCTTGCTGCTCATCTTAAACCCGGAGATGTCCACGCAAGAACTCTCGTCATTCCCCGGTAGACAACTGGAAAACCTCGGTTTCTCAAGCTTTTCCCAACAACTTTTGGCCAACGCCGAATCACAACAAGCCAACAGACGCCTCGGGGACCTGGCATCCACGATGCGGGATATGCGGGCTGCAGCGGGAGAAGGTAGCAATGCCAGTTTGGAGCAACTGTCGGCCAGCTTGGCGCGGCTCGAGGGGAATTTGTCCAGTCTGATCCAGAGTTTCCTGGCACTGCAGCGGTCCGTGTTTAACCTTGAGCAGCTACAGGAGCTACTGGTGCTGCTTCTGGAGGACATTCTCAAACAGGTGACTTGACAGCCCACATCCCCTAAAAAACCCACACGTTTACTTGTAGATGATTTGCAGTCATGTTAGTTTAGTTTTGGTATAACAGTTTGACGACAGTCATGTTAGTTTAGTTTTGGTACAACAGTTTTACGGCAGTCATGTTAGTTTAGTTTTGGTATAACAGTTTGACGACAGTCATGTTAGTTTAGTTTTGGTATACGAGTTTTACGACAGTCATGTTAGTTTAGTTTTGGTATAACAGTTTTACGACAGTCAAGCTAGTTTAGTTTTGGTATAACAGTTTTACGGCAGTCATGTTAGTTTAGTTTTGGTATAACAGTTTGACAGCTCGTACATGCTACGTAAAGAGGTCATGATACAAGTGCTTCAGATTACTACAAAGTAATATACAAACAAAAAAAGGAAGAGATTATAAGGAAGATAGACCTTATACTATACATACATAGAGATGTTTACCGGGGGGAAAGGAGCAAAACACGCCAGATCACCCGCCAACTAAACGCAACGGAAATCATAGTTTACTGTTCATGTTATGAGAGAGAGAGAGTGAGAGAGAGAGAGAGAAAGAGAGA